AACGCCAAAACTACATGTTCAAAGAGAGACTTCTTTTTTCTTCTGTTATGAAGTTTGATTCAGCAGCAGGAATATGGAACTGAGCAGGATAATTGGGGTCAAGTGTGTTGTTCTGGCTTTTCTGTGGACTCTTACAAATGGAGGTGAGTGAAGCTGTTGTGACTGTCATTAATACAGGTGTGTTTCGGGTCATGGTGGTTTTTATTCAAAGAAAAAATGAACATACCAAAAATATGAGCATTTAGAATTACAATAAGAAATGTATAAATATGTTGTTTGTGCTTCTCGGAAAGTTTAAATAGATGGTATGTCTGAAAGAGGTTTTTTTTGCTTATCCAGTATTTTTGTCTAGAAATCCAGTCTTCTGTTATGTTCCATTCCATAAACTTTGATGGCAGAAATTTCAGAGATATTTGTACAGTGACCCGGATCAACAAGATAAGAAAAGGGTACATCAGGTGCTTAGGTTGAGACGACATTAAAAAGTCAAGTCTGAGATGGTCTGGGAACATGTAGAGGAGGGATAGTGAGTATATTGGACAAGCGATGTTGAATATTTCTTGTGGATTTCTTGTGCATCATTTTAGACACATGTAACTAAATTTTAAACACTAAAGATAATATTTTTTGAATGGTGGTTTGCTACAAAGAATGAGTTCCTGTTCATTCACTGTGTTAGTGTAAAGTTTAACGATGGCATCACATGAAAAATATGGATGCCGGCATGCATTCCAGCTGTCACATACTTTTGTTTTCTGTGTGGGAAAAAGGGGAGTATGTAATGTTGCTACCAGAATGACACATCTTTCAGCTATATCAGACTCCAACAGCACTGTGTTTACATTCAAGCAACCAGCTTGGTTTTGTATTTCCACAGTGTTGGACATTTAATTCAGATACCCGGTTTTTACTGGTGGAAAAAATTAAATAGCATCAGCCTCCTAAGTCCCAAACTCTTTCATGGCATGCATTTTTAATTTCTCTTTGCTATTTGGGCTGATTGGGACCTGATGAATGTAAAAACAAAGAATTAGGTGATTTTTTTCTTTTACCTGATTTTTGTTTCTGAGAAAAATGAGATCCACATATGAGGACATTAACTTTAAATGTTAATAGAGCAGAGGCAGTATAATGTCCTCGTAAGTAGATATCAGGCCTCTGTAGAGTAAAATTTAGTATTTTGATCTAGACAACCCAAAATGTGATGTTCACATACAGTGGGGCAAAAAAGTATTTAGTCAGCCACCGATTGTGCAAGTTCCCCCACTTAAAATGATGACAGAGGTCAGTAAT